GCAGCCAATCAATGATTCTCTCTCATCATTGATGTTTCTATCTCTCCCTTCCTCTCTGAAATCAATTAAAAAACCCAAAAAGAATGGTAAAGACAAATTTGAAACTGAATAGAGGGGGAACTTGAATTACAAAATTAGCAAATCATATCAAACTATAATAATTAAACAGTATGGCATAGAGGCAAGAAACAGATATGGAGATCAATGAAACATAATAGAAATATATGTATATATATATATATATATATATATATATAGAAACTTGGTGCATGATAAAGATGTAATATTAAAACTGGGGCAAGGATTGACTTTTATACATATATTTTAATTTATTTCAGAGAGGAAGGGAGAAGGAGGGAAAGATAGAAACATTAATGATTATCATTGATCGGCTGCCTCCCACACGCCCCACACCGGGGATTGAGCCTACAACCCGGGCATGTGCTCTTGACCAGAATCAAACCTGGGACCATTCAGTCTGCAGGCCAACGCTCTATCCACTGAGCCAAACTGGCTAGGGCAGGGTTGCCTTTTAAAATAAATGATATTAGGACAATTGGTTACATCCATTATAAATTCTGCCTTAGCGCATTTTCTAATAAGTCTCATGTAGGTTAAAGACAAAAGCAAAACTAGGGAAAGTCTTAAAAGAAATGATAGAATACATTTATGACCTTGGGGTATGGCAGGCCTCAAACAATACACCAAAAGCAACAGTCAGGATGGAACAGATTGGTAAACAGCCATGAATAAACACTAAGAACTTATGAGTGACAAAAATTAAAATGCAAAGTACAAACTAGAAGGAAATATTTGGAAGCTATGTAACTGACTAAGAGAATCGGAAACCATAAAGCACTCCTACAAATTAATAGTAATAAAAAAGGCATAAAACCCCATTTAAAAAGTGGGCAAAGGATATGAGCAAGCAATTCACAACAGACAAAATACATAAAGCCAATAAACTCACGAAAGCATGTTCTCTCTCCTTAGTAATCAGAGAGCTGCAAGTTAGAACAGCGTGGTACTATGCTCTCAGGAAATGACTAATCTGCAACTCATCAACCAGGTCTGCTCCATGTCCCTTCCTCCAGGAAGCCTTTTCTGACCCTCACGCTGGGTTAGATTCCTCGTCACACACCAGCCACGCACCCCCACGCACCCCCACGCACCCCCTGCCTCGGCCCGCTGGGGTCTCCTGCCCCAGCCCTGCCCTCTCTGGGTCTCTCACGGTTTGGAAGCCCCAGGCGCGGGGCTATCGTTAGTCACCGGAGTGTCACTAGCGCTGCCCGGCTCAGGGCCGGGAACCGAGGAGGCGCTTGGGGAATGTGTGTGGCATAAAAGAATGGATGGGGAAACTGAGGCCAGGTCCATGGCAGAGCTGGGGCTCAACCCCAAGGCCTCACATAGATAAAGGATCTAGTGTGATCTCCCACCACCTCCCGCTCAGGGAACCCTGTCCAGAGCCCCAGCACACAAGAGGCGCTCAATCAGGGCATTGAAATTGAACTGCTTGGCAACCAGAGACGCTCAGGCCCCGAGACCGCCTGCTCTCTCCAAGCCCTAACCTGCACAGTCCTCCACGACCATAGAGAGCTGAGCGGGACCGCGCTCTGGGCTCGAGGGCTAGAGAGGCCGGAAGTGCAGCGAGTCCGGGGACGCTCTGGCCGCGCCGCTCTTTTCCCAGCGGCTCGGGGGCGAGGAGGTGAGTCCTCCCGGCACCGCGACCGCGGGGCTGGGGCGAGAAGGGCAATGGGGAGACAGGTGGAGGGGGAGAGGGCTGGAGGCTGCTGGTGGCGATTGGCAGCCGCTGAAGCCAATCAGCAGTTGCGGTGTCCGAGATGGACAGGAGGGAGGGAGGGGCGGGCATCCAGGTGCGATCCCTGGGGCGGGGCGGACGGAAGGTGGGGACCGCGGCGGAGCGGGC